GCTTGGTGATGTGAGAGCCTGGTCCGGTGAGAACCCGGCGTGCTCCGTCCCGACTTTGTAGGGATGCGAGGTCAATGGTCTAACGCCTACGGCATGCACGACTATGAGTACACCCCACCCCCCCACCCCATCATTGGACTCTGTCGTCTGTCCCTCTGTCCCCTATCCTCCACTTCTACCAGCTAGACGACCCAACCGGGGTCACATAGAGGGGGGGGGGTTAGACCCCTCCTGCGGTTATGTGAAGGTATGAAGGAGATGCAAAAACAGCGGTATTTCCATTGATATTTTCAGCGAATGGATAAGCTTGGTCTAGTCGACCAAAACACAAGCAAGGCAACAGCAACCACAACCCAAGACAAATGCCCTCTGACGCGACCGCCAAGTGGCGGTATGACGCCTGTGCTCACAACTCGACGGCGGAAATTTCGTTCCGCGGCCGGCGGGCGGGATCCTTATTTCGCCGCGTTTTTTGGTTTGTGTATGCTTCCCTTATGTTAAAAAACATAAATACAAACACAGAACGACTACCCATTCGATATATGACCACAGTCGAACGGGATGTGTTACTAGAACTATATATTACAGTGGTATCCACCGGGCTAATTGGTTGACTGATCGTGTGTGTGCGTTGCGGTGTAGCCTGCAACTGCAGGGCAACCTAGGGGTTCGTATGTCCGCAGAGATTCATTCGAGTGCCGCACATGCCGAGTTTCGCACAGGGGTGTGCGTTGATTTCCCATACCATCTGATTTGTTTCGATTTCCGCTCATTTATGTTCTCAACGCTCACGCGCCCCCGTTCCCGCTCGCCGCCTTGGATCTCCCGTCCCCTCCAGTGTGATGGCCTGAAGCCCTGCCAGGCGTGCCGAAAACGCGGCGTGACTTGCCACTTCAGCGTGAAGCGACCGACCGGCCCCAGGAAAGCAGCTCTTCTCGCCACAGCAGCCGCCGCCGCGGCCGCGGCCGCCGCCGCCAACCACGCTACGAAGGGCGCGGCCGCTAGTAATAAGGCGCCCCCCCCCGGTTCCCTTCTCAGGGACGCCATGCTGTCGCCAAGGGGCGGCGGCAAGCGCATTATCGGCCTTGCCGGCGGCGGCGACGGGGCTGACGGGGCTGACGGGGCCGACAAAAACGCCGAGAACGGAGGCACCACTGCTGCCAATGGAAACAACAACAAGACCTTACCGTCCCTGATGCCGGCGCCGCCACCGGCGCCGCAGCAGCAGCAGCAGCGCGCCGGCGTCGCGACCAGGCAAGCGTCGGCCGCCAAGGCCGGAGACAAGCGGGTGGCAAAGACTCGCGCCGGCGCGGCCGGCGGCGGCAGCGGCAGCGGCGGCGGCAGCGGCAGCGGCAGCGGCAGCGGCAGCGGCAGCGGCAGCGGCAGCGGCAGCGGCAGCGGCGCCTCGGCCGGATCCACCCTGTTCCCGCTTGCTCCCAACGCGGTCGCCGCCGGCGCCGACTCCTCCCCGGGCACCCCGCACGAGCTTGCCAAGGGCGTCAGCGGGGGATGGACCGGCGCCACCAGGCAGGGCACCGATTCTTCGGAGTCCGAGAGCGGGATCGCGGGATTGGTGGGAAGGAAGAGGTGGCAATCCGTGGACGGCAGGGCGGACGACGGCGGTGGGGACGGCCACCTGCAAGGAGCCTCCGCGCGAGCTTCTGCCGCCAGCGGCAGGGGCGCCAGGCGCGGGGGCACCGACGCCGGTGGGACCAGGGGGGGCGGCAAGCGTGGGGGAGCTGGGGGCGCCGTGGATGCAGGCGGAAGCGGCGGCGGAGGAAGAGGAGCGGAGGGGAGAGACGCCGGCAAGGGCGGGCGGCGGGTGTCTGCCGGTGCCAGAAGTGGCTACAGCAGCAGCAGCGGCCTCGCCGGCAATCCGGCGGCGCATCCGAGCGCGGCGCCTTCGGCAGCGGCAGCGGCCAGCGGCACCTCGCGGACCCTGAGCGACAGAGATCACGGCCTGCTTGGCGTGTTCTTAAAGTGAGAAAGAGGAGGCGACTGCAGTCTGTGTACCCTCGTCTCTTGTGTCCTGCTATCGGGGTATCCCCATCGGTTCCATTTTTTCATCATCCGTCGTCTGTCCCGCTCGAAGGTCACGACCGCCGCCGCCGAAGGCTAGCGCGAGAGGGAATTAGCGGTTGAGTTGATTCAGCACGAAAAGCGGCAGTAGAATTTCGCTTGGACCATCCCTATCGTTGGTCCAACCTGGGTCCAATCCATCCCTCACGCAACCCCTTCCCGCCGACCGTTGTTCGATCTCCCTCATCCTCGCACGCGGTTTTGGGCCGCGCGGCCTCTGCTGCGCTCAGCACCGTGAACGAGTTCCTACCGCTCATCAGCAGCGACGTCGTCGCCGCAATGCGCGACGACATCGTCGTGGACGGGATGAACGGGGCGAGCAACAAGCGCCGCAGGCTATCCCCGGGGTCTGGCGGTCCCGACACTGACTTCGAAAGGTAAAGCGCCGCCAGCCACACCGGCAGGCCCTTGGTGCTACGCGTTCTGTATGTGGAAAGGTGTTACGTGTTAAGTGGTGGGTGAGGTGTACGCGTGTTCTGTCTACGAAAAAAATACGGCGTGTTTAGTACTATGCATATGTGGGTTGTGTGGAAAGCCGTTCATGACATTTTGTGGCACGGGGTCGACTGTTTGGCTGGCCGCAAGAAAAAATTATGCCGCTGTTGCTTTGCTTCATTGTTCCGACTCGACAAGATGCCTCAGTGGTCCACCGGTTCACTGCATCCACGTTCAGGCGCGCGGCGCAAACTGCTGCAGAGGAGGAAGGAGACCCTCCGCACCTCGACCCGAACCCCCGTCCTTTGCCACCTTATGCTCCAAGCCTACAAACCGAAAAACGCTTAAGAACCCCTTGGACACACGCCATTGCGCAACTATCAGGTTGCGCCATCCTTTGCTTTGGGCCTTTCAACCAAAAATCGCTTGGACATGCTCTTGCTAAACGATCAGGTCATGTAATCTTTTGTTCTGGGCCTTCCGACAATATTGTAATCGCTTGAGTATAATGCCGTGACATAACCTCCAGGTTCGCGCGTAGCTCTCTCATCGAGGCTGCTCTGAGCGTGGGCGCCCTGGTGACGAGGGACCAGGTGGCGGCGGTGAGATTCGCGGAGAACGCCCGGCAGCTGCTGAAGGAAATATTCGACGTGCCCAGCGAGGAGGCCGCTAGCGCGTTCTTGTGTCTGGCCTACTTCAACACGTACAGCGGGGAGGCGCTCCGCGCAGACCTGTGAGATGATGCTCGTCTTCATTTCGTGGTGGTTGTTAATGGTGGTTGTTAGGCTGACTGTTGTTGCTGGGTGTGCTCTTGTTGAATTTGGCTGCTGTTGATGTGGTTGCGCTCTTGTTGAATTGGCTGTTGGTGGTGATGTTTTGTTTTTTGCCGGTGTGGGTGTGCTCTTGTTGTTTTTACGCTGTTGGGTGGATCGGTTTTGTCTTACTGGGGTCGCGACGACAGAGACAACACAGGGCGGTTGGGGCCCTCGAATCGGCTCCCCCACCGCCACTAAACCGTGACGATAGACGACGCTGCCACCGTTTCCACGAGCCTTGTGCGTGCTTTTTCTCACCCACGCGCTGTTCATGTGTTGTCAACTCAACAGGTACTTGGTGCAGGCGCACAGCTTCTGCCTCAACCTGCCGGAATTCCCCCTGAACCTGGAGATCTGCATCGAGCACCTGAGCCACGGGCGGCTGAAGATCGAGCTCCGCCCTAACTTCCACACGTGGGGAAACCGCCGCTACAGGGTGAGCGTTTCGTGTTTCGTGCGCGCGTGTGCCGTCTTTTTTGCATGTCATCGGCCGCGCTTAGCCAGCGTGCCGACGGAGATGGCGTCATGCTTTTTGCGAGATGAAGGCGAACGTGTGTTTTCAGTATTGACATTAACCGCACTATCCGACTGACGAATGAAAAGGCGTCAGCCTCACGGCAGCGCGCGGCTATTCGTGTGCTTGTTGCTGTATATTGCTCACTGCTTTTTTTTTTTTTGTGTTTCTGTGGAATGGACCTGGATACGAGGGGTCGTTTGGAGGGAGCATTGTGACTAGGGTGCTGTTTTGTGTCTGACACCTCAGCCCCATTAGGCTGAAGAAGACATCCAAGAGCATGCTTGTCCCGACCATGCATCACACTCCCCGTCACCCTCCACCCTCCTTCCTCGCTCGCCTATGCGTTTGTGCCTTCCTTTGCCCCCTCTTCGCGTTGTTTCCCGCCCAGGTCCTACACGTGGCCAACCACGTGCTGTCCATGCTGACCCAGACGGGGGACCGCGGCCTGCCCGCGGCCCTGCAGGCGGGCGACCCCCACGCGTTCGAGGGGGGAGAGGCGGCCCTCCTCCGGTGCGTGGAGGAGCTAGTCACGTGCATCAGGATCAGCGAGAGGGACACGCTCGCCAGGCTCATTTGCAGGTGCGTGGTCGGGTGGCCTTGGGAGGGGGGCGTGTATTGTCCGATCTGGTGCTTTGTTGTTGGTGCCCCACGCCGATGATGCCCGTCCGATACGCCCGTCGTCTGGTAGCTTGAAAGGGGGCTGGTTGTGTGGCGGCAGCCGCAATCTAGATAGGCTTGTGAGGCCGCCCTAATCTTAGTCTCCCGCCTGCTGCTGCTGCTGCTGCTGCTGCTGCTGCTGCTGCTACGCTATGCTACGCTGGCGTTGCCTGGGGACTCGCCGATTGTTGCCGTGCCGAAAGTTGTACAACCCGTTGACGACTGTCCCTTCCTGTCGGCGCAGACCGCCCACATCACCTTGAATTTTCCGCGCGTCACGGTGACGAACGAACAACATCGCTTTGTGTGCGGTCTCACTCCAAGGTCACTCTCCCCCCTCCCCCTCCTACGTCTGTCACTGTCGCTCTCCTGTATTCCTCTCGGTGGATAAATATGTTTTCAACGGACTCGTCAGCTCCTTAGTGGGGCTGCTCCTCATGCTGCTGGGCCGTCGCGAGGAGAGCATCGCCGTCGCCGAGTCGGTTGCTGAAGGAGTGACCCCCACCCCGGCCATCACTCGCGTCATGCCCTTGTCCTGGACCGCAACTACCGTAACTTCGGTAAGGAGCAGCTTGCTGCACAGCACGGAAGCATTCACCCCCTGTTAGATATGCATGAGAGGGTCATGTGCCTACTCGCCTTCTTGCGCGCCGCGACTGCAAAGGGACGGCGCCATTCGTTGGACGTAGTCTATTTGAGCATTGCGATAGAAAGAGGCCGGGCGTTGCTGAGCATCATGTTTCCGCGGTCTTGCCGATGCATCTTCTTGGCGTGCTTTACCGTTCTTGAACCCGTCCCTCTTTTGGCTTCCTCGCGTGTATATGGGCTGCTGCCGCCTACCACGGATCAAAACCAGCAACTCTTAACTGTATTGCATGCGTCTAAGAATTACTCACATTGCGACAGGGCCGAGACCCTCTCCCTCTTGCCCCTTGGTGTTGATCATCTCATGCCTCTCACCCCGCCCTCACTCACGTGATCGTATGTCTGCCTGCCGAAACAAACGAAAGGCCCTGCTGTTCATTTACGAGAGGCACGGCGTGTACTCCCGCCTGTACGAGCTCGTGGCGCCCGCGCAGGGGCTCTCTGGCTCTGCGGGACAGGAAGGCGAGTGCGCGTTGCCCCTCCCGGGGTCCGACGTCGGGGAATACCTCAGGCACGCCTGCAGGCCGTCCACCTTCTGCCAGCTTGTGGTGACCATCTCGCGCCTGACGGACCGGGGCACCAAGAACTTTTGCCCCACCCCGGACGCCTCCCAGGTAACCGTAATATGTCAGTGGGGTGTGCCCCCCCCGCCCTCCGCGCGGAAGGTTGGGTATTTTCGTATTTTCCCGTCCCATCCCACTTCTTTTGCAGCCGTGAAGTTGGAAACGCGTTCGTTTCTTGGCGTTGGTGGGACGAGTCCCGTCTCAAGCGCCCGCACTACCGGCCGACTGCTTCGCGTATGCCCCTCTCTAGCTAGCCCTGCGCTACTTGTCTCGCGCGCGCCCGAACCTTCGTGTAAGTTTACCTGGAGCTATGTGCGTCTCTTTACTGCGTTAGAGTGCGAGCCAAGACGATCGTTGGCCGGCCATGTCCGGGCTCTTCAACAACACCGGGGGTGACCTGGTGGGGTCGGCAGCGGCGGGAGCGGGCGCAAGGCTGGCAGATGGAGGAGGAGGAGGAGGAGGAGGAGACACGATGAGAGGGGGAGGCGGGCCCAGGGGGGCGGACGTTGAAAAGGCGGAGGAGGAATGCGCCGGCACGCAGCTGGCAGAGCTGCTTGCCTCCCTGCCCCCGGCATCGCCGCCCAAGCTCTCGGGCTTGGTTGACGTGGAGTCGTACACCGACCTCCCGTCACACATGAACGACTTGGCTGTGGGGGCAGCGCGCGGAGGCAGCGGCGGTCTCGGCGGCGGCGGGGGGGGGCGGGCGGGGGAGTCCGGCTACTTCAGGGGGGCCTCCCCGTTGCCGTTCTTGGGCCGCACCTCTTCCCAGGGCCGCGAGCACCAGGTGCAGCACCAGCACCAGCAGCCCCGCCGGTTGACAACCCTAGCTAGAGGAGGCTCGCAGAGCTCTTCCCATTCCGGAATTCACCGGGGCCCGCCATTCTTCCCGAACCTTGGAGACCAGCATCAACAGCAGCAGCAACAGCAGCAGCAGCAGCAGCAGCAGCAGCAGCAGAAGTACGGGGGTCATCGCGGCCCACCGCACTTTCCGGACGTTGGAGACCAGCAGCAACAACAGCAACAGCAACAGCAACAGCAGCAGCAACAGCAACAGCAGTACGCTGCTGGGGTGCACCGTGGACCACCAATGCTTCCTCCTGACCTCTCTCAAGGAGGAGCTGAGCTAATACTGGAGGGTTTCAACGCCGGCATGCCGCCCACCTACCCTGCTGGTGGTGCCGGTGGTGACGATGGTGTACGTGGAGAGGGTGAAGTCCGAGGAGTTGGGATGGGCTCGGCGGGACCGGGGCCTGGGCCGCCTCAGCAAGGGAGGAATGACGGCGGTGGCCAGGATCAGCAAGATCGGTTACTGCACCGTCGCCAACAGCAGCACCACCTCCGCCAGCAGCAGCAGCAGCAGCAGCAGTACCGGCAGCAGTACCACCCGCCGATGCTCCCGCCGCCTGATCACCAGCAGCAGCAGCAGCAGCGGCAACAGTACCACCCTCCAATGCTCCCGCCCGCTGACTACCTGCGGGATCCGGAAGGGGGAGCACAAGCGGAGCCGCGAGAATCCGCTGCCCCTAGGCAGTCTATTGGGGGTAGCGGCGGCAGCGGCGGCGGCGGAGGCAGTGCTACATCCAACAGCATGCGCCGAGGCCCGGGAGGGGTCAACGAGACGCGCTTGTTGTCGTCGTGCTCGCTGTCCTCTGCTTCGGCGGGTCCCCTCCACACGCTTTCCTCGCAACGCCAGGAAGACGTCCTCGGTAGCTCTGGCGACGGCGGCAGCGGCGGCGGAGGCGGAGGCGGAGGTAACGCCAGAGAGTTCCTGAAGGGCCCGCAGCGGCACGGCGACAGCGATGACTTCGGCATGTACGGCGAAGATCTGCTAGGGTGAGAGAGAGAGAGAGAGAGAGAGAGAGAGAGAGGG